TAATGAAGAGTTCATCAGACAGATGGAAGAGAAGAGACTTCTCATCAGAAGGGAACAGAATAGGCAAGGATTGGGGGAAGTGCTGCTGGTGGCCCAGGAAGGAGGACCATGTGTGTGGGTGTGGGGACACTGGGGCACTTGGTGAGAGGTTAGTGTCTATTGAAATAAACCTGAGTCCTATCTGGAATGCTAGTACAGGGAGTTTTATTTTGTATTATGATTGTTAATTTTTTTTTTTTACCAAAAACTGATCTTCAGCTAAAGACAAGATAGAAACCCAATGTGTGTGATGCACTGACTCATTTGACACATGTTCTCTTACCTTATACCCCCAATTATCCTCTCAAGTATTGAGAGGATATACGAAATTGAAGCTCAGAGATTTGAATGATTTGCCCAAGATCACTACCTATGAAAGAAAATTCTTACTCTTCTTTATTCAATGAAATCCTCATTCCAAAAGACTGGCAGTGGGGGAGAATTCAGGGAAGGGAGCTGGTACCTGTGGGTCTTCTTCTTGCACCCAGGCTCATTGTATTCTGGAGGACCAGTCCCAAGTCAGTACTCAACTACCTTGCCTCTTCATTTAGTCTTGAGGGCACAGAGAACAATTGAAAGTCGTAACAAAGCTATAGGGTAATGTTTAGGGTATAAACATAGAAACATGACCCATTAATTATTGTCAATTGCCTTTAGTGGTGAGACACCATGCAGATCTCTCTTGGTTTACCTCTCACCATCTTCATGTGAGCAAGAGAATCTTTAATTCTGACCACCAAGAAGACTTAAATGCTACGATTTCTGCCCAAGAGAGTGGACCCCCACAGAGAAAGTGATTGTATCACATTTTGTCTAATGAAGACTGACTTGTAGTCAAGGTATTTAACATGCTTAGCTTTGTGTCTGCCACATAGTAGATGTTCATGAATATCAGCTGTTATTATTCACCTCAGTACCTCACTTCACATTTTTGACAATCAAACTCTCCCAGAGGATTGAACCTGAGACACCATATTTATGCTGTGGCCTTGTGGATTCAGTGCGATAATCATATCAACATAAAAATAGATGTAATATTCACATAAAGGATAGGCAATGGAGTTACTTTTTTATAGGATTATTATGAGTTGAGGTTGGTGCCTAAGTATGTCTGTCTCTCCTCAGCTCCTGTCCTTTCAACTAGAAAGGAGTGTGAAGGGAAAAAGAGAAGCTCTGCCCAAATCTGTAGAGATGATAATAACCCAGCAGTTTTTAGCCATCTTCCTGGTGTATGGGCAATTGTTCGGGCTGCCAAAAGAACCCAAGGAAGAGATGCTCAATGGCTGTTAGAAATACTTTAGGGGTCATACAAAATTAGAGGAGTTGCAAATGATGAGCAAGTGGACTGATTTTCTAAAAAAGAGAGACACTTTTTGACCCCTGGATGCTAAGTTCTGTTTCATTTCTCAGTAAGAGTCTCAATGGAGATTCTCAAAAACATGATTTGTGAGTATCTACAAAGGAAGCACATACCCCACTAAAATTTGTCTCTCCAAGTTTCACAAAGAACAGGCCATGCCAGATCAGGGCCATGTCTTTTGGGATAGATTGCCAGTTGGATAGCCCAGAAGGTCATGTATTTGGATTTCAGCCAAGAGTCCTAATACAAATTGATTTTTATTTTATTTTAGTGCCTGTTGTGTGTCAAACACTGTGATAAGGGAGCTGAAGGAGTTCAGTTTCAAGATGTCAGAAGTACTCTGTGATATCAAATAGATGTTTACAAGTGAATGGTGGAAAAAAATAGATTGGTTACTTTTTTTTTATGATAGTCACAGAGAGAGAGAGAGAGAGGCAGAGACACAGGCAGAGGGAGAAGCAGGCTCCATGCACCGGGAGCCTGATGTGGGATTCGATCCCAGGTCTCCAGGATCGCACCCTGGGTCAAAGGCAGGCACTAAACCACTGTGCCACCCAGGGATCCCTAGATTGGTTACTTATAATTGATTTAATAAACACATTTTTATAATGATGCTGATACATTTTTGGATAAACCATGAATAGTAAGAAAATGTTATTCGTTGATGGACCAGTCCAGAAAGGTGATTTTGTGTGTGTGTGTGTGTGACAAAGATCAAAATTGAGATGAACTATAACAAAGCCCTACACTCCTTTCTGCTTATTTTTTTAAAAATTTTCCTTTCTGCTTATTTTAAAAATCTAATTGTTTGTATGTGTGTGTGTGTTTGTGAATGTGTGTGTTAAAGATTTAGTATTAATGCCTACTACAAACCTTTTTGATATGCCTACAAACACAACTACACAACCACACAAATGCTGCTAGAAGGATGGGTGGGGAGCAGGAGAACGTGTCTAGGTTGGCCAGAAGTTCATTATTAGAACCTCTAGGTACTTCATTCTTTTTTTTTTTTTAAAGATTTTATTTATTTATGAGAAACACAGGAAGAGGGAGAGGCAGGTTCCATTCAGGGAGCCTGATGTGGGACTTGATCTTGGAACTCCAGAATCACTCCCTGAGCTGAAGGCAGATGCTCAACCACTGAGCCATCCAGGCGTTCCTATGTACTTCATTTTAATGAATCATTTTTTTCCCAGTAGGGTATGAACTCCTCTAGGTCAGGGCCTGTGTACTGTAACCTTAATATCTGGCAAAATTCCTAGACCCTCCTAAGTTCTCAATAAGCACTTTTTCTAGATGTATTTCCTACTCCAGCCCCACCCCAAAAAAAACTTAATTTGATTGCATATTGCATTGATTAGAGAATAGCACCTGTATTAGCTTCCCATTGTTGCTGTAACAAATTAATAAAAAGTTAGTGGCTAGCTTAAAACAATACAAATTTACTGTCCTGTAGTTCCAGAGGTCAGAAATCCCCCCAAACAAGGTGTTGGTAAAGCTGTTTCTTTCTCAGGGAGGCTTTCAGGGAGAATCTGTTTTTTCCTCTTCCAGGAACTAGAAGCCACCCACATTACTTTGCTTGCGGTCCCTTCAAGCCAGCAACTCTCTGATCCTTTTTCTTGTCACGTTTCTTTCTCTGACCACTCTGTTAGAAGAGATTCTCTACTTTTCTTTTAAGGGTTCATGTGATTAGATTGGACCTACCTGTGTACAACCCAGGATATTGCCATGGAAAATAGCCTATTCACAGATTATGTGATTATGGTTGGCATTAGGGTGTGGATATCTTTGGGAGATGATTACTCTGCTTATCACAGCCTCCAAATTGGAAAGGTGGTGGTAGTAAGGTGTTAGACTCTATTTTCTTCAAGATAGCAGAAAATTGTCATGTGACAGGATTGGACACTCGTGCTGTGCAAACTCAGAGCACTGAGTAGGATTAATCCTGGAAACTTTAGGGAAGCAGCTTTTGCCAGAAATTAAGGCAGGGTGTGTGGACATTACTGATGTCCTTTAGACAGGCTAGAAATGGCAGGGCTTGATGCCATGGGGGTGTCTTACAAAAGAGATTTGAGCATTAGATGAAGAATCATCTCAGGTGTACTGTCAAACTCCATTTAACCCTCACAGCCACTGATTCTGTGACTTAGAATTCTGGTGACTTTCAGGCACCTCTGACTTCAGGTAGCTGGAACTGACCCAGGCCCTACATCCTTACTGAAGAATCATCTCTTGCCCTCACTGAATCTCTATTTAAGTATCTGTCCCATACCAAGCAGAAGTGGTGAAGGAAGGTGGTAGAGCTGATGCCTTTTCAGAAGATGCAGTAACTCATGTTATTTTTGAGAATATGTATTTTAAAAAACAGTAGCCATAGAGATAGTACACATTTTAAAATATTACACAAATACTTAAAAATCCTCTCTGGCATATTCAGACATGAAAAGAGAACAACTGTAGAAACAAGGCATGAAAAAATTAAAAAAAGAAACAAGGCATGAAGGAAGTGTCAATTCATTAGGTGGTTTGTATAAGGATCAAACAGGACCATAGATGAAGAGAGGAATAAATAAAACAAGACAAAATCAGAAAGGGAGACAAACCTCTTAATCATAGGAAACAAACTGAGGGTCGCTGGAGGAGAGGGGTGGGGGGAGGGCATAACTGGGTGATGAGCATTAAGGAGGGCACATGATGTAATGATCACCGGGTATTATATATTATATAATCACTAACCTCTACCTCTGAAACCAATAATATATTATTTGTTAACTAACTGAATTTAAATAAAATTTTTGAAAATTAAGTATGACATATTAAGAGGGAGTCAGATATTTAAAACAAAAGGAACAAAAGAAATAGTAGACCAGATTCTTTCATCTTAATCCAGAAAACAATATATTTTGAGACTTTTTTTTTTTTTTCACCTGGCCACTTTGGGGATGGTTATTTGGAGTAACTTCTACAAGATCTGGGAGCTGCTGTACAAAATACTGTTTTTATGTCAATAGCATATGTAGCATGAAAGTACTTTTTTGTATAAATAGTTTATGTTACTTTATTCTTGATCTTTTAAGTATACATCTGAATGTAGTTTATAAACCTGAACTGTACTCTGTGTTACATGTTACATTAGACCACTTGACCCACAGATTATTTTGTATCCCAATAATATCCAAAAGGAATTAAGAAATTAATTACAACTTCAGTTGTATTTAAGAGAACTCTCTGTGGCTTCTTATAGCTGTTATTTATCTATCTTCAAAGGGAGTCTTAAGTGTCTTTGGCTTTGGGATTGTAATGGTCATTCTAGACTAAGAGAAGCTCGTTAAGACAATTAAGATGTTGAGCCAATACTGCCAATGACCACATACCACTCCATCTTCTTTCCACTTCTTTGGATTACCCAATAGCAATAATGGTCATTCTAGCCAGCTCCTGATACTCCTCTCTATAGTTAAGGGAAGGTCAGCTATTTTTTGATCCCCATGGGAGAGAGACAGCTCCTCAATCAGTATCCTAAAATAGCTGGCCATTCTCAGCTGCTGGGCTGGAGTGCCTCCAGGGGAGAGCAAAGGGAACACAAATCCACTGGCTGAGTGTGAGTGAGAAGCCACCACAACATGAGCTAGGGGAGGCTTCTCAAGAAGATCCTGCTTACTCAAAACATCTTTCTTCTTCTTCTTTTTTTTTTTAATTGAGAAGCTAGGTGTCTGACATTTCTTAATTTCTTATTTTATTTAAAGGGAAACCAGTGACTTGAAAATGAGACTAAATATTGCCATCTTCTTTGGGGCTCTCTTTGGTGCTTTGGGGGTTTTACTCTTTTTGGTGGCTTTTGGATCGGATTATTGGCTTCTTGCAACTGAAGTGGGGAAGTGTTCAGGTGAACAGAATGTGCGTTTCTTCTTCCAAATATTGATGTACTTGGTAGGGTGAAGATAGCCTTATGTATCCTCTTGAAATCAGAGAATAGTAGTGGAGTGCCTATTTCTTTACAGAAGAGATTGGTAGAAAACTACTGACCGTTATTATTTGGGATAAAATACGTTGCTTTGATATTTTCCTGGTTATGTACTTTGGTTGACAGCAAGTTACTTCATCTGTGTTCCTGTACAGATAGAGAACGTCACTTTCCACCATGAAGGATTCTTCTGGAGATGTTGGTTTAATGGGATTGTGGAAGGGAATGATTCTAGTATTTGGAAGTTCTGGTACAGTAAGTGCAATTTATATTTATTTTCCCCCTTGTCATTAAAATAGAATGAAAAGCTTCTTATTTAGTACAGATCACTTACAAGATAGGATTGGATTCTTAACTATAGAATCTTGAAAAGACATCTTCCAAAAGACTCATGAAGTGATTCTTTTTCAGGAAGTAGAAATGGCTATATGAATAATTATTTTATTTTCTAACCTAAAGTAGAAGCCTGAATAATTAATGCAAAACTGAATTATCTGTTGTTTCCTTGCTCTTACTTAAAATACACTAAACCTAATTTTAAAAAAACCGTATATATTACCTATGGTGTTTTTCTCAAGTGTCTATTATTGCTGTATTGCAAGTAAATGGTGGTTTTTGTTTTTTGGGGGGGGTTTGGTATCAACACTTGAAATCACAAATTTAAAGATTTAGAAATAGAGATATGTTGTTTTATATCCATGGCTTTAAAGTTAAAAAAATCTTTTTTTTTTTTTTTAAATAATGAAACTTAATTACCGACAGCAGTGGATGAAAGCTCACTCTGTTTGGGCTTTAAGCATGTTTGTGGGCAATATCAAGAAATGCCTGGCTTTTGATGTTTGCATTCTCTCATAGAAACTTGAAAGTTCTCTTTTGAAGTAGAATAGCCTCTTGAAAATACAATGCATTCTTTTCACTGTATTTCCTATATTATATTAATCTTTGAAAATCGGTTCATCGAAAATAACTAGATTCTATCTTATTGCATTCAACAATAAAAACTGCTTATTACTCTAAAGGTTATTATAGGTTGAAATAATTAGTCTCCTTATATACTCCTGTGATATATCAAGATATGGCATTTACACAGTAGTCAAGATTGTACAATAAAAGAATATATAATAAAAATATGAGATCTTGGAAGACTTAAGCAAGCTGACAACAAGCTGGCATACATAAAAGGAACCAAGTAATGATGAAATGGAATTTTGCAGGAAATAGTTGACAGGCTATCTTATAGTCATTTTGGGGAAGAGAATAAGCATGCAATCTGCCAATGAAAAGTATTTAGACTCTGTTAGAGTAAGTCAGACTGTGCAAGAGGAAGACTTTGCCAAGGACTTAGAGAAAGGAAGAATTTCACTCCTTGCAGTGAAATCTTGAAGTTTTCAAACAACATAAAAGTTTTTCTTGGGTCTCCTACGTGGCTCAGTTGGTTCAGCATCTGTCTGGCTCAGGTCATGATCCCAGGGTCTTGGGATTGAGAATCACCTCATGCTCCCTGCTCAGCAGGGAGCCTGCTTCTCCCTCTCCCTCTGACTGCAGCTCTCGTTGTTTGTGCTGTCTCACTCTCTCTCTCTCTCAAATAAATAAATAGAATCTTAAATTTTTTTCTTGTTTTTCTCCAAATACTAAAAATGCTTTTGAATTATTAACTTGTATTATCTATTATTTCCATTTTTCCCTAAAAATGGAATATAGAATACTTTTAATGTTAAGCAGAACTGATCAAGGTTAAGTCCAATTTTTAAAAAAGATTTTATTTATCTATTCATGAGAGACACACACACACAGAGAAGCAGAGACAGAGGGAGAACAGGCTCCTTGAGGATCAGGGAGCCCAATGCAGGGCTGATTCTGGATCACGAACTGAGCCAAAGGCAGACAATTTACTGACTGAACCACTCTACATCTAAGTTTATTAGATTTTTAAAACAATTACTTTTTGAATACTTACCATGCACTAGGCGTCATGTTAGGAACTGGAGAATATGGTTGTGAAAATAAATGAAGGGTAGGACCTTTAATCTTAAGGTGATGTTAGGTGCATTCTCTGCATTGAACTATGTCCTGAGCTAGATGTTTTGGATAAATCCACTTTCCAGATCCCCTGAGTTTCTTGATATGAGTTTTTTTTTTCCTCACTCAACAGTTCTTTGAATCTGTTGATCTAACCTGCAATTTATGTAGCTTGTGAGCCCCAGATCCCATATTTCTCTCCTGTTAAGAATGAGTCTTCATTCATTTCCTCAGTAACAACTACCATCGTTTGGTCTCCTTCCTAGCCAATCAGCCACCATCCAAGAACTGCGCACATGCTTACCTGTCACCATATCCCTTTATGAGAGGCGAGCACAACTCAACCTCGTATGATTCTGCTGTTAGTAAGTACTTCTATCCACAGAATCCCTCGGAGAGGGACTTGTTTTTCTGAAAAAAAAAAAATTTAACATGTATCATTTCAACATTTTCTCTGGTATCTACCTGCATTTTCCAATGTGTATTTTCCAATGTGGAAATAATTATGTTTATTAGGAAGAACTGCTTCTTATGGGTTTAACTGACCTAAAACTAGTCTTACAATGAAAAATAATTGTAATACACACCCTACTTTTAAAACATTGTTTTTGCAGTTGTTGCACATACAAATTGAGTATGCTCCTGTTTTCCTACAAAATGATTGAACTTTGTTATGTGTGATAACTTATAGAAAAAGAATAGTCAAATATCATAACTGAGAGTCATGATTACCTAGTTTCTTTGATATTTTCATACTATTTGTTCTATGGAAAGTACACAAACTTAGTTCATATGGCAAATACATAATATATACTTAAATCTAGTTTTATAGAAAGTACATAGGCTCAATATGTCAGCTTTATTCTCGGCTGGTTTCATGAAGTTTTAATAAAGGGTGTTTATCATAATCTTAAAACTAAGAGTTGGTTCAGAATTTACCAATGTCATAAACAGATACAAAAATATTTGTTTTTTTAAAGAGAATAAGTAATATATTTAATGTTCCAAATAATCTCATATTAGTATTCTCCAGAGAATCAGTAGGAGATATATAGGTGGGGGTGGAGTTTGGGGAGACAGAATGATTGATTGTTTGATAGATTGATGGAGAGATTTTAAGGAATTGGCTTATGTGTTTGTGGAGGCTGACAAGTCTAAAATTTGTAAGGGAAGCCAGCAGGCTGATTAAGAGTTGCTATTATAGTCTTGAATCTGAAGGCTGAAAACTCTAGAATAATGTCTTCTTTAGGAAATCTAGCCCTTACTCTTAATGCCTTCAACTAATTAGATGAGGCCATATGAGTGGTCTGACAAATTAATGCACAGAATATAAACATTTACTTATATCACATGATTAACATGACATTTCATGGAGTGTGCATGAGATCTGGATAGGAAAAGAGGCGAGTTGACATATAGCCATGCTTGTCCATCAAAGTTGCTTTTGCTCAAAATGGCTGTGGCTTTTGGCCTTGAGAATGTGTGGTGTGGGTACTCTTCTTCATTAAAAACTGCACAAGACAGTTCCCATTTGTCACAGCCTTTTGCATAGTGTGTTACATGGACCTTCTAACTGATAAGAGAAGAGATGGTGTGGGAAAGAGCAGGATAAACCATTTTGTATTACAAAAGTTATAAAAAAGCTATCCTCTGACATTCTTACTTTTGTAAAATGGACTGATAAATGGTACAGAGTTGACTTTCCACAACATTAGGTATTTGCATAGGTATTAGTATTGTTATTGATACTTATATGTTCAGGCCCTGTGATGAGATAGGTATCGTGGGCACCATATATTTAAAATGAATCTACATATTTGAAAAGTCTGCACCTCAAGGAAATAGTAGAGAACTTGAAAAACAAGGTGACATGATCTAAACATAATAATTATGATGGAGATGGATAGTAAGTGCATGTCACAAAAATTATACTGCAATTATGCTTAGAATTATTATGTAGCACTGCATATAATTACTGTCATTTTTTGGATCTAATGACAAAACCATATTCCAATTTTTTTTGTTTTAAATTATCAGACTCCTCTTTGGCTCACATATTGTAACTCCCTATTCACTTTAAGCAACTTTATCAAACACTTTAGCAAAAATCACTGAGATGGGAAGAAACATGTCCTACAGCAGAAATAGCATATACATATTTCATGTACCTTCATAATAATGTACAATGATATCTGATATTATATTTGGGTGATTTTTTCTTATGGTTCCCTTTTCCAAGAGAAGGGCCATGGATATCATTAGAAGAGTTTTACTTGACTAAAAGTCGTGTTTTCTAGTTAGTGAGGCCATCTGGGCTTTACTAGACTCCATAGCCACTCTTTGGCTTCATGTAGCCTTATAATTATCCAGCATTATACATTTGCTAATTTATCCTGGCTAAATTCAAAGTATTGTTTGTAAAATCTGATATATTCCAGCTTGGCAAAATGGCTTTGTATTCTCCTGAGTTCTTGCAGTTGCAGTTAGCCAGTATTGAAATCAGTGAAAATAATATAGTGGTGTCTAATTTTTCTGGAAAGATTATTTTATAATTATTGGATGCTACTGATGAAATTATTCTATTTCATAATATGGAGACTGAGAGCCAGAGAAACCATGTGACTGTTGTGACACAGCTGATCATTGGCAGAACAAATGCAAAGGTCCAAGTCTCTGGATTTTGTTTATTGATAATCTTAAAAGCTACAGTGAGTCAAAGGGCAAATTTTAGTTTTAGCCATTAAATTTTTTTGAGTATAAGTCTCTTCACAGGATCTCAACAAAAGACCAATTTTAACATTATGTTGGCTTTTTCTACTTTTCTATCTGATCCTGACCTGTGTGTATAATCAGGTCTAATTTAGTGTTTCCTTTATTATTTTTTTTATTTATGATAGTCACAGAGAGAGAGAGAGAAAGAGAGAGAGAGAGAGAGAGAGGCAGAGACACAGGCAGAGGGAGAAGCAGGCTCCATGCACCGGGAGCCTGATGTGGGATTCGATCCCGGGTCTCCAGGATCGCGCCCTGGGCCAAAGGCAGGCGCCAAACCGCTGCGCCACCCAGGGATCCCTGTTTCCTTTATTTTTGTCTCAAAAACATATTCTAAAATTTGGTTATGCTCAAATCTAGTTATTTGCCCAAGCCTAGAGAGGTTGTTAAAGTAGGATTATATACTTTGAAATCCTTTAAACAATTTCATTACCTTTTGATATCTGTCAGAATTTAGATTTTCTGGTTTGTTTTATGATTAAACCCAGTCGTGGTGCATTTATTTGTTATCAATTGGCAATGATGTACAGAACATAGACTAATTTTCTAGATAATTCAGCCCGAGTGAATTAGTCATTTTTGTCAGTGTCCCAAAAGCCTTTGCCCCCCCCAATCAAAGTGCTCATTATATGTAACTACAGTTATTTACCTTACTCCCTTCATTATTTGTTGGAACTCCCTAAAGTACAGAATGTATCCTACTCATTTGTATACTCCCAGAACCTAGTATAGTGCATGGCACTTAGTAAATGCTTACATGTCTCTATGGAATTACTTAATGCAAAAAAATCTTGACTTTCTTTGTAAGAAGAATATATTGAACATAGTTTCTTCTGTTCTTGGTGAGTTGGAACAAGTACACGCACCATGACCTTCCTTGAGTTTCTCAGAATCAGTGTTTGCCCTCATGCTTTAGGGCCTGTAGGAGGCATCCCTCTTCCCCAAAAGCTGTTCCTCTCTTCCCCACCCCTCTTCCCTTCATTTCTCTAACAAGCAGGCTCATCCCCCAAGCTAGTACACACTTCAGTGTTCTAAAGAAGCCTTCCTTGCCAGTCCCCTATCCCACTACTATATGGGGATCAAGAGTTGAATACTCTACTGACTGAGTCATTCTTTAATTTGAATATCCATAGCACAGACTTTGTTTACTTGTGTAATTATTTTGTTCATGTATTTCCTTCCTAGTTCAACTCTAAGTTCCATGGCAGTGATGTCTTGTGTGTTTGGCTCACTGGTTGTACCCACTGTAGACTGAATGCTAAATGTATACTCTGGGAGAGTCTTTGTTACTACCCTATACTGTGGTACTAATACTGATGTCCTAAGGAGCTGTTGGTGTGTGTAGGAATTTCTCAAACCTTTATTAAGTGGACTTAGATTACTCTTAAATTGTTTTTCATACTTTTAATAACTTTTAGATCTTCAGCACTGCTTTCACATGTCAGCTGCCCTTTGCTTTTATTGTCAATATTTATTTATTTTGTATTCTTTTCTGGTCTTCTCTTCCTTCATCCTTATGCAAAATTGTAGGATGAAGTAGACTATAGCCGACTAGAACAGGAAAGAATCATCTAGGAAAGCCCATGTGTTAGGATGTAAGTGACAGAAAACTAACTAGTAAGAAATAAGGGCAGTTTTGTTCCACAGCAAGGTCAAAAGCAGCTGCCACAATTATACTGTCAGGGACCCAGGCGCTTTCAGGCTTTCCTCCCACCATCCTTGGCAGATGTACAGTTGCCACCATGCTCTTTCATCTTCAGAAGAGCAGAGTATCCCTAGAGTTCTCCAGTAGATTTCCACCAAAGTGCTAGTCACCAGGACAGTGTCATGTGGCCTCTGTAAGCTGGAGTTGGCAACTTGGAGTTGGCAACTTGGAGTTGGCAACTTGGAGGCAACTTGGAGTTGCCTGGCTCTTTAGTCAGGATCGTAGAGGAGGAAAGGGAGAAGGGCTGGTAGTCAGTGCTGATTCCATAAAGGATCAACAGTCATCAAGGCTCAGACAAGGACAGCCTGGGTAGCTCAATAAATAAAAAATCTTTAAAAAAAAAGGGCTCAGACAAGGGTAGGGCAGCAAGGATGAAAAGGGAATAATGGATATAGATGATATTTAAAGAGTTAATGTGTAAAACTTGGTAGTCAAACAAAAGAAAGCTGGAGGAATCTAAGATGATGAAGAAATTCCCTTTTGAAAAGGCATAATTCAATTTAAACAATGTGTAATAAAAGGTAGGATGGTCATCTCTGTCTAAATGATAAATACTATTTTAGGATATTTCTTGTCAGTCCTTTTATATGCATATTGTACATAGTTTTGATTATTATAAATATAAACATACATCTTTTCTAAGTTAGCAACCATTTCTCCACATTTTAACCTAATGGTTTCTTAAATTTTAAATGTTAGTTGCTACCTCTACGTTAAAAATAATTTCATGAAAAAAATGAATAATAAAACATAAAAATAATTTTATACATGTAACATTTTTCATAATTTGTATTACTTCTTTAGATTATATTTATGGAAGTGTGAATCACAAGGTAGGAATAGGTTTTCTTTGTTGTTGTATCATGCCATCGTACCACATTACTTGCCAAC